TCTCGCAAGCGGGGAGCCCTTCCCTGAGCATCGGCCTGGCTGGGAACTGCCAAAACTTCCCAGGAGTTTTTCCCCTTTTCTCTTTTCCTCCTTTTTCTCCTTATTTTCCTTTCTCTCCTTCCTTTTCTTCCTCTTTTTCTCTTTTAAATGTGTTGCTTCCCGTTGCTAAGGAAATGATTTTCCAGGTGTACTCAGATCAGAACTGAAGCTACCAGCCAAAATCACGGGTAATCTAAGCCATTTCTCTTGCGACAAAGCTGCTTTAATTTGGGTAGCAGCCTTTTAGGTGCTAATTCTCGAGGCAGTCTCTCAAGTTCCACCGCTGCTTGCCCCTTTGCTCCTCACGGGACGGCTTCTTCGGTTCAACCCGTTTAAAACACACTGCTCTGCACCTCTGCAAGCCTGAGATTTCCAAAACCGGAGGGTTTCCCCCACAGATATAAAGCCCCTGTGCGTGCAATGCAATCTCAGCGTGACAAAACCCTTCTGCGAAGGGCAACAGCAGCAGGGCAGGCAAAAAAGGAGGAGAGACGTGGTAGAGAATTTCACCGGGGTTTGCTGTCTGCAGACATGATCCCCAACTTTCAGGTTAACTTTCCCCCTGCTTTTGCTGGTGATCGTGAGGAGACTCGGGCTCCCCTGCACATCTGGGCACATGAAGCTCTAGATGAAAAGGGACCTGAAATCCACCGACTCTACCTGGGCTTGATTTAATTATTTTGCAACTTTGACGGTTTTCACTTGGGTGAAAAACTCTGGTTTTTAAAACTAACTTTTGCTTTCTCTCTCTCTTTCTTTCTTTCCCTTTCTCTCTTTTCTTCCTTTTTCTTTTTCTTTTCTTTTTTCTTTCCTTTTTTCTTTCCTTTTTTCTTTCCTTTTTCTTTCTTTTCTTTCTCTTTCTTTCCTTCATACCCTACTTGTGCCGTGTCAGCAGCAATTTTAGCTTTTGAAACAGCGAACACCAGTTAAAATACTTCAGTACAAGTTTTGTTCAGTCCTTTACTATTTTTCTCTGTCAAGCCCCTTTCTAAGCACTGTGTTTTCTGTTGTCCTATCCTGTAGCCCCGTGGCATAAATAGCGTCGTATTAGGACTTCATGGAACAAACCCGAGCTTTTTTGTTCCTGCATTTGCTTATTATTAGTGTTGAAATAAACTATTGGAAAACTCGCTGGCAGAAATATTCCCTTGCATTTTTAGTTTGTTTCCTAGAAAAGAAACCTCATTCCATACACCCCCCACACCCCCCAAATAAATACAGTCAAGTAGCAACTGCTTAAAAGGAGAACTAGTGCAAAGTATTCAAATAACATTTTCTATGAGATAACATTGCAATTTTGTTTTATCCAACAAAATACTGCCAGGCAGCACTTTCAGGAGGCATCCCCGTGTTTAAAAAAGCAACTGTGTTCAAGTTTGATTCCTACCTGTTGTGCCTTTTAAGCCAGGATTACCTATAGCACCTGTCACATACAGTTACCCAGGCTGACTGCAGCTCTGGGAAGCTACAATATGGGCTGTGATTAATTTGAAGATTTCAGAATAATACTGTAATAAAAGCTACACTCTGGACAAAAATTGGATTAAGCTCTGAGGCTGTATATGAGCTAAAAGTGTTGAAAGCTAAAGCCCCCGTGCCACCACTCACAACGGGCAGTTTAAAATGACAGAGTTTGCTAAATTCACGTTAAAGTAGAAATGTTTTCAATTATTCATCTTCATTGACTTCATATTGTCTTTTTTACCCCCACCCTCTCCGCTTAAACTGATAATTACTTTGAGCAAACAGGCGGCTGGTTCCCATAGAAATGCTTTAATAGAAATGGTCGAAAGTTCTCGTAGTAAAACCTTCAGCCTCGCCACTATAATAAATAAGCCCGGCACTTTGATGAAAATTAACACTAGTTTTGTAAAGAGCACATTGGGGGATTGCAGTCAGGTCTTATCTTTAGTTCCAGTCAACTAGCAATCCTGAAAGAGTTTGCATCATCATCAGAGCAGGCCATTTGATAGGATTCTGCTGTCAATCTATGGAATACTGTGGCTGCGCGGTGTAACAAAGCTAAAATAGATTTACAAATGGGGTTTTAGAGGATAAGCTCCTCCACAGGATTACATATTGATTTTAAATATAAAAAGCTTATCATATAAACCATAACTACAAAAATAGTGAACCTATGCATAAATCCTTTTAGAAGAGCACCCACTTCAAACTATAAGCCAAGAATAAATCAAGATGTACAAAATCCGAAAGAAGATCCATTTCTTGGGCAGAAAATGAACACACCACCCCAAGGTGTGCAAAAATGAACTTATCTTTTCTAAGGAGGCATTAAATCTTGAATGAAAAAAATAAAAAAGGAGCGAGAGGAAAGGTAGCTGGAAGTAAGGCATCCCGCGGACGTGGCAAAATCAGGCTCTGAACTGCAGCACCTTGTTTACAGGGGCCGGCTCACAGACAGCCAAAATGCCTTCCCGTGGGCACAGGTTAAAACAAACCAGTAACCTGCATTTTCTTTGGCCTATCAGGCAGGGATTTCTGGCCTCGCTCAGTCGGAGCAGTCTCAGCAGCAGAAAGAGAACACCTTCTAGCTGGAAGAAGGCAGTGCCGTAACTCTCTCTCTTATCTCTACGGCTAAACAGGGTGGGGGAAATAAAAGTGTGCCTTTTTCTACCACCCTCAGTCATTCATGTGTTCCGCGTGAAGTGCCGTGACACTCCAAAAGGCCATTCAGTTGCCTGTGCCTCCATTTTAGCAGTGGCTAAGAGGACACCGTCTCCACATCACTGAACATTATAACGGTCAGCACCTCCAGACGCCAGCGCTGCCACACGCTGCCTGCGCAGGCAGGGCAGGCCGGCCGCCAATAAACCGCCTTTATCTGCCATCAGCAGGCTGCTACCTTTTGCAAGGCTCTCTCTTTCTCTTTTTTTCCCCCCTTTCCTGTCATCAACCAGCTAAGTAAATTGGTTGATAGATTTTTAAACAGCAGAGTCACGTGTGGAAGAGTTACAGCAATTTACCAAAAAAGTAATTATCACCTTTCAAAGACTTTTCCCTTTTTTTAAGTTCCAGTTTGGGTTGGTGCGTTCTACCTTCCTTTTGGATAAACAAACCCGTCCTGTCCCGTCATATATAGATTTTTTTTTCCTTGCCCATATATTTCAGGTTTGGAATTGATGCCAGTAAAAGTGAGATCTGTATTTTCAACTCCTTAACAGAGCCCAAGTGCTCACTAGCAGTCAGCTAAACGGCCTCGGAGCACTGTTCAGGCAGCCCATGCTTCTTCGGGGAAATCATATTATAAATGGTGTGGTTTTACTGGTGCTTCCCAAAAAGTGCATCTTGGCACCCCGGCACAAGTTGGACACAGAAAGCGATACACTGCTGACACACACATCAAGAAGCAGGGTGTGACAAACGTGTATCTTGGAGTTTTGCAGGCATTTTCTTGGGAGAGTTTCTCCTGTAATATCTTTTTTGGGTAAAAGCGGATAGCTGCTAAAACAATCTCATTGAGGGTTAAAATGATAAATGTGGACCAGTAGCACACACAGAAATAAAGAAATTGAAAAAAAGAGGACTGTCTTGGGTTTTGGCATGTCTCTCTCAACTTACAAGAAGAAATTAAAAAAGGAGAGATTTTTGTTCAAGTCAGCGTGTGAATGGCATAGGCTGCGAGACATTCAAAGGCTGCTGTTAGGACATTCCAAGACAGTAAAAGGAAGTAAAAGGCAATTAAACATTGACATTTTGGATTTAAATACAGTATCTCTTAGCTCCTCTCTGGTTTTAAAGTATTTTATGTTTTAAATATTTAACTAGTATGATTCCCAATTAATCTGGCTTGTCTCTGCACAAAGCAATGTGTGTATTTATGACTCGAGTTTATCCAAGAATATAGTGAAAAGTAGCCTTAAGCAAAAAATATATCCACAGATGGAGAGATATGAAAAAGCTACCTGAAACCTGCTGCTCCTACAAACTTATGCTCCCAGTGAAGTCTCCAAACTAATTAGAATTGATTTATTATGGATCAGGTACCTTATCAGGTGAAGAAAGAAATTACCATGGACAGTCAAAGGGTTGAGAGGTCAATACAGAATAGCAAAATCAATTTGCATTGATTAGACAAAAGGTCCATTTTACAGAGCCCAAAGGATTAACTTTAAAGCAAACATCTTTGAACTATAAGACAGCATTTGTGACTGAGAGGTATAAGCGGTGCAGCATTAGAAAACACTTAAGATATTTAAATAAGAAAATAATGCAAGCAACGGTTTAAGCTATCTGGATGTTTATTTTTTACTATGAATCATCCCCAGGATTATTGTACAATTCACTTGAAAGCCCTATGGAAAGGATGCAATTGTTTCATTTATCCCACGTGTCAATCTTCCCATGAGTTTTCATTCAGGTAAGGTGACTAAACTCGGGAGAGTTGCAGAGAAGGGAGAAAATCTGTGCAAAGGATCGCACTAATCCTGGTGTTGCTTGCGATGAAATATTTACTTGGCAAACGTATGAGACCTTTTTTTTCCCAGTGAGATACTGTTGTAACCCAGATCTGAAACACTAAGAGGAAGGGGGCTCCCTTCTGTGGGTCACCCTTTCCATTTTCTGCGGCACTGAAAGCAGCTCAATGCCACAGGAAAGCCAGGAGAACATGACTGCAACAAAAATAATAAACCCTGGGCAAACATTCTTTACTTCCTCAGCACTTTGTTTTTAAAGTTTATTCCAAGGAGACAATATTTCTTTGTCCCATGTATGAAGACTTTTTTTTTCTCCCCCTGAATACAACTTCAGAATGGGATTGCAGATCCAGCATATTTGCCGCATGCTATCACTTGAAGTGATGTAAATATCAGCATTAATTCTTAACTGGGCTTCAGAAAAGCCTCCCTGCTTGGTATATTCAGGTAGCCACCTTCGGCAGCAAGCACTTTCCTTCCCTCAGTACCCAGCGTTGCTCTTACCTTCAATAGCGAGCATTGCTCTTATTTCAGCAGTTCGTAGCGCCTTTCTAGGTCATGTTCTTTTTCCCTAGGCAAGTTGCAAAAGTTCATCAATATGTTAATTACTAAATCATTAAACACTTAAAAGAACCTTTAACTCACATTGATTTTAGGACTCGTAACCGACTTTTCTCTTTAACTTTAAGCTACTCCAAACAAATGATACACAAACTTAAAACCTTGCTCAGGTGGCATATTCAGTCACAGGGCTTTTTCATTTTCTGTAAGGTCGGCTTTAATTCCATCAGTTTAACTCTGTTGTGCTACAAGACGTAATTATTTATTATTCATCCTTGGAAGCGGCTGTTGTGGAATGTCCTAAGTGTAAAACATTCCCCCGGATCTAATGAACAAATTCCACCATCAGCCTATTCACCAAGATAATATGACACTGGAAGTATTATCCTATATACATTCTGCCCTAATGAATAATGAAAATTAGACACGGGATTAGAAAGTTTAATATTTTGTAGGTAAAATCTTCTGTCAAGTTCAGACACGGCAGGAAATTCATGAGCACAGGCTCTTCCCAGGGAAGTATGCAGGCATCTACACTAGGTGGCATTACTGAAAGAAATATAATCAAACTGAAAGGAGCTGGAAAAGAAGCACTGAGGGCAGAATGCCTCTAAAAATGAGCAGCATCTCCCCCCTTCCTCCCTGGTGCTAGCGAAAAAGTTTATTTGTCCTTACTTTGCAGTATCAGTGGTATCATCACACTGTGACTGATTCACTAATATCCTTCCAGCAGTCCAGTGCTGCTGAACTACCAATGATGGGATTGAGGATTTCTGCAAAGCAGGTAGTGACTCAGATTTCGCTCTCTCTCCAGTCTTCACCTGTCACATCTGAGGCACAATCCAAATCTATTTGTGCGTTTCTAAAATGCAATTTTATTCTACTGCTGGGCCTTTGAAAGTGTAACTGTGCTTAATATCTCTTTTTTTTTTGTTTTTCACAGCTCTGGCTAATCTTGTGTCAGTGCATGCTTCTCATTTTCAAGTCTGAAATATGAGAAAAACAAGTTACTCCGTGAGTTCCACAAAGCATCCACACTACTCACTTTTGAGGGAATATTATTGAAGTCTAATGGGAAATGAGCCAATAAGTTTTGCATCTATCTGATGGGTAAATATTCCAGTAAATCATCCTTCTGTAAATACATGTGTCCATCCATACTTACAGAAGAGAAAGCTGGTTCATTCGTCTTATTAAGGCATTCTTCTTATTAACCAGCATGAACCATTCCTGCATCATAGCTTCTTCTTCTTCTGTGTTTCTTCCTGCAATCAAAAGAATTTCATTACTTATGTGGCATTTCACAAACCGAGCTACGTATTTCATGTTAGGTATTGGATGCATTGGAGCATTGGTCTCCAATACCATTGAGCATTACCAGGCATGCTCTCAAATGGTAAAAATAACCTATGACTACAAGTCCTGCTGCCCAGTCCTGTTTGCTCCATAAATAAATCTTTGAGAGCAGCTGATCTTCAGCATCTATTTTAGTGTTCTTTATCATGCTCATATCCTAACCCAAATAAACACCTTTTGAAAAGTACTGTATCTTTTACATTCTCCCAAAAGAGCTATATTGTTGCGATGTTCCCAATGAAAAAGCCCTTGCTGCTCAAAGATGCCTGGTCATCACAGGCTTCCAAACACAAAAACAATCCTTGTGGGCAAGATCCATTCCACCCATGCAAACCCAGCAGAGTCAGGATGATGAGGTAGGGATCAAAGTCGCTGTAGAGGAGATGGTAATCCCGAACCCTTGTCCAAGGCACGGGCACCTGCTCAGCTTCCCTCTGCTTATGGCTACTCTTCCAGACAATGAGCTGGAAAGAGATGCTCCTCTTCTCAATGTGCTATCAAAGGGAGCATCTGCACAAATACAAATGATCTGGGGGCCTGGGTGCCTAAGGGTCCCCATATGTGTATGCAGGGACAAGCATCCCTTTTCCCAGCTGATGTCCATCACTGCCTCCCAAGCAGCATGAGGATCAGGACCTCTATAGCCTACCTGCAGGCAGTGGTATGCTCTACCAGTCCTTTTAAGACTTTGTTACCACCTCCGCACCATCAGGCTTCATGGAGGAAAGGCAGACAAGCAGCTCTTGATTGTCCTTTGCACATAGGAGGGTCATTCAGCCGAATTCCACTTTCCTTGAGCTCAGAGACTAAGAGAAACCTCATCAAAGTCCTACGTGGAGGCTGTGCCTCTGTGGTGATCTGCCACTCTCATCTCTCAAGTTGAGCTAAGGAGCAAAGATTACGTGGTCCTCATTGAATTCTGAAACTCACATGTTTCCTACAGTTAAAATTAATCTGGGAAGAAACCTGGAATAGTGGTAAAGGAGCAAGGGTCTTCTGAGTACTGCCCCCAACTTCAACACTGCTTCACTGGGAGACTGTGGGCAGATCTCTGAGAAGTTTCAGTGTCTGTGTGTGTAACATGGGGATAATCACCTGTACCCACCTTGCAAGGGTGCTAAAAGTTAACTCTCTGATGTTTGCAAAGTGTTTTGAAATCTCTAATGCAAGGTGCTGTATGCTCGGGGAAGCTGTCTTAATAACTTAAACCATAGGATCCCTAACTGCAAGAAGCAATTTCCAGCACCAGAAGCTGGAAATACACCAGAAAAAATATTGTTTTGCTCAGAAAGAAAGCTTTCAGTTTCTGGATGGGAGCATTTGAAATGCTTGCACGTACGTGCCTGCCATGCACGTGTTCATACCCCGATGCCACGGTAGTGTGCAAGCCCAGATCTGCATGGAGAATCACCTCACCTGGCTATGACCCTGCTGCGTGCAAGGGAGGGTCACCGGCCTTCTTCAAACTGCTTGATCCCCCCCACTGTGGCCTGTGGCCTTTATGCATCCACACAAGGGAAGGAAAAGATGAACAGGGAAGGTTGGAGTGAGCTGGTGGACCCATACAGTAAGAAGAAGGTATGCCATCTGGCATGTTTTCCTTTGTGATGTGAGACATCCTCCCCATACCCACTTATCACCCTGGGAAACTCCTTGTTGACAAAACTGTTCCTGAAAGCGTGCTTTTAGGGTACATGATTTGCTACTAGTGAGATGGGAAAGGCAGAGCATCCTGAAGTGGGGATGGCCCTGCAGCCCTTTTCCAAGCAGAAGCAGCGGGGGTCTAGCTCCTGGACGACTGGAGCAATAAGGAAGAAATTTGTCATGTAGAAATGCTCTCCACCAAGACCTCTACTTCTGGTTTTGTGCAGAAATTATTATGCTGTGGCATTTACAATAATATTCAGCAGTTCAGCACTCCCCCAAAGAGGATTAAAACACATAGGTATACTTTGCTGTTAAGTTACAGATCAAAGGTGCTGCTGTGTTGGTCCACCTAACAGGGTCTGCTTTTAGAAGCAGATGATAATCATTATTAAAAACCTTTTGTTGGAATGCACCAAGTAGCTGAAATTTATTTAGGGGAGAGGGTGAGAAAAAGGGGATAATTGTTTTTTTATCTGCAAAATGACCAGTCTATTCTGTGACACACAAGATTGCCACATTTGCCACGCTGCTGGTGAAAAAAGTTCTTGCAACCAGACACATGTGGTCATAGTAACATTTTAATCCATTTATGACAGTAAATTTGTTGGTTTTGGGGTGGTCTGGGATCTCTGGCTAAAAGATGCCATTATAAATGCAAGCTCTTGCAAGTGTTGAAAAAGAAATGGGAGACAGAAATGTTTCAAAGGCGTCTGACTCAGTGGTGGATCTGAACTTGAATTTCATGCCATGTAATCTCAGGGTAAGAACGTAAACTTAAGATAAAACCTTCTTTCTATTAATGCATTCCTCCTAAATAAAGTTAGTTCAACATACAGTGAGAAAAGATGTAGGTAAAGCTTGGAGCTGGCGCGTCAGATCTGAACAGGTGCCTATTGCTGCCACCAAATCACACACAATATCCATAGAATAGGCTGGTTTAAAAGTGAGTTAACAAAGTCTTGATTGTTTTTACAGAATTTTTAATCTGTTTTTGTATTCGCTTTGGACCCATGTGATGCCCTGACACCGGTCATGTGATATCGGCTGCGATAGGCACAAATCCCCGGGCAGCAACAAAAGAAGAAAGAGTAAAAAAGAAAAAGCTGAGAAAAAGCTTGCAATTTGGAAAAAGGCCAATTGTACCCTGGCGAAGGCCTTTTTGATCAGTGAAATGACACATGTGTGCAATAGTAATAGCAGTCGATGCTGATATTTTATTTGTTGACCATCAGCTTTTAAATTCTTGCGCATGGAGCTGAAACAGATTCTTCCCAGCCAAGCAAAATAGAGATGAACTCCCATAAATAAGAAATTTAAATAACTCTTTTCAGCAAATACACTACCATTAGAGCATTACTACTTCCCCTCACCCCCCCACCTCCCTTGGTGGAATGATGCACGCGAAACACTTTCAACAAAGAAAAACTGAGTGTTGCTACTGCAGCGATCCTGCAGGCTCCACTCACGTTTGTGATTTCTAAATATAAAATAATATAAAAAGCCTTTTTTCAACACAGTTTCACTCTGTAAAACCCTGCTGCTGCTGGGTGGGTTTTGTTTCCACTTTGCAAGTGTAAAAGAAGTATTTAATTGACTTGCTACGAATGCTTGAAAATTGAAATTGGGAAAATATCTGTGTTGTTCTCAGGGAAAAAAAAATACTGTACAGATTATTTAAATGAAGCAAAAAACATGTTAGAGAACATATCGACCCTATGCATGCAAACCTCTTATCTGGGCCAGTACAAGATGATGAAAATCTATAAATAGCCCACAGATCTTAAACTTACATTTTTTTCCATAATACATGCATTACACTATTGTTTTCAATAAAAAACAACAACAACAACAACAAAACCCTTTTAAAGCTAGTAAGTTGGACCATTACAAATTAATCCTGACTTTAATAACTGGTTAAAGACCCCTTCAGCTTTATAAGTAACAAAAAATATTAAAGCCTGTGATCACAGCGAGCTTTTCTCATTTCTCCTCTAACCATTTGTTATTTAATCCAATACTAGTAATCCAATTTGTCCATCAGACTTTTAAAGGGCAGAATGCAACTTCCCCAGCTTAGACACTTTTCAAAGTACAATATATTTTTCAAATGAATGCTGGATGTTTCATTTTTTCCCCAACTGTTCCTAGCTCTAATGTATGAGGAAAAAAAGAACAAGATGAACATTGTTCGTACTGATTAAGTAAGAGCTCATTAAAGAGCTGTCAGTGCCGTACTTTGAATATGCATGAAGCATATAATCAGATCTAGTACCGTCACTAGAGGAGAATACGGTAAGTACAAAGGATTGATTTAATTACTTAGAGTGGGCTGTGGTGGTAAAGCAGTCTTGTTAGCGCAAAAAGAAAAGGAGGTTGTATTCTGGCACGGTTAGGGGAAAAAGGCAGTTTTAGCTTCTGCCACAATACCTAATCTCAGGATAAAGCACTTTACATTGTAGCTTAAAATGAAGACTGTCAGTTTTCTAAAAAGACCAGAATTCATCTTATCTTGTTTAACCTCATCTGGTTAACTATCTAGCAGAACATATTTATTCTCTTTAACACGTAATTATGCTTATACCTTTTTATCCTATAGTTCAATAATGACTTCTGAAAACAGTCTTCAAATAAGAGCGGGTAGTGCTGCAAACATCATATGAATGCAAAATGCTCGGTAAGAGATTTGAAAAATGCAGAACCAGAAACTAAGACCAAACAGTAAGTACACGTGCCTTTATGTAAAAAGTCAACACGGCTTTTAATGTTGGACTTTATTATTAAATAGGTTCTGAGGAGGCTTCTGGCAAGGTTTCTCTAATTTATTTTCTCCCTCCTACCCTCTTCCTTTCTGCCTTCCCCCCCCCCCCCCCTTTTCCTTTTTTTTTTTTTTTAAATCAATTCATTCTTGTTTTATTCTTCCTCTAGGAATCCAGGGGAATTCTCTCACATCAACTCTCAGTGCCATTTTCTAATTTCATTGTCTGGCTTGAGTGGTGAAGGATGCGTGCTCTATTCTTCTCTTCACTTGACATCTACCAGAACCCTCCTCAATGATTAGGAACGAGCCCAACACCAAGCCTGGAACAGCACAAGACACTAAATTCTGCCCTCAGATACGAGAAACTCCTACTGACTTCAGAGTTGTGATTCTGCGCTGCATTAGCTCCTGTGCAGGATTCAATCAAGGCTGCAGTGTAAAGTTTGTGGATTTTAGCCCTTACTAGGACAAATTTTAATGATAGCTAAAATAATGATAGCCACA